TGTTAGCTGCTAAATTCAATTAAGTATCTGATGAGTGCTAATTATATTCAAAGCATTGTGCTCATTGTGCTAAGTGTTGTAATAAAAATATAATGCTTTAAGACAAAATACCTATGATGAAAGAGATACGCTCTAGATGGGGAGGCAAGAGAGATTCATACTATAAACAGCTGAAGAAAATGAAAAGCAGTATTTGATTAAGTGTTGAAATAACTGAAACAGTATATGCTAGGGGTTCAGATAAAAATCAGGTAAGCAGAAATGTGCCTAAAACAGTCACTAAAGGCTTCTCGGGAGAGGTAGTCTCAGAGCGGTTTTGCAACGTCCAATAAGTCATTGCTCTGGGGGGCAGAGAGAAGTGGATGAAAGATAAGGGAGTCCCAAGTGAGTCAGGACTCTGAAATAGAAATGGCTACTAGCAAACAGTTTGTGTTGGGGTGTCATAGCTAAAAACATAGGCAAGCAGGGTTCATATAAGCAGAGTTTTGAATGTCAGAATATCTAGATTAGATTTAACCTTGCAAGTCATGTGTAGCCAATGAAAGTTTTCAAGCTCACTTGGCGACAGTGTGCAGAACTGATGGGAAGAGAAAAATAATGGAAAACCATAACTATCATCCTGGTTCTAGTATGAAGAGATAAGCATCAGGGATGGGGTGAAGGTAGTGAAAAGATAAAGCAAGGAATGGCCACAAGAAACATTCTCAAGCAACACTTAACAGTGAGTCGTTGGAGAACTGCATTGAACCAGAGGAGAGAATGAGCAGGGGAGTAAGTTACTCAGGGGTCAAAGAGTGGATACGACCTTTGAGAAAAAGAACACGAGGAAGGGAATGGGAAGAAGTCTAGAACAACAGCACACAGAGAGGAAGGAAGAGGCCAGAAAAGAAAGTTTCCCAAGGTGAGCTCCTAATTCTTCAAAGTAAAATTTTGAAAAATGGTATCTGCAAGGAGGAGGGTAGAAGCTCAGGGTAAGGAGAGATCATCCCCAAACGCATAACACATACAGGGCTTCCTGTCTCCTCCAGAAATGCACAAGCACTTGTTAGCATGATCACCACAAAATGCGTGGCTGAGCTGAATGACACAAGCCTTTGGCAAACAGTGGACCGATAGGGTCCAGATCTCTGTGTCAGAGACCTTGCCCTGTTACAAAGTCGCTCTGTCGATTTGGCAAAATAAATACACTTCCTCTGGATCTCACCATTAAATCAGAAAAACAGTAGTGAGCCAACTTATCTCATGGGCTCATATAAGCTAGTAAACTTGGAAATGACTTTCAAAAGTGAGTTATTCTGTACATATATTGGGTTGTCGGAAAAGTCATGACATATTTTTTCTGTGTTTTTCATTGCAACACTGCGTCTTGACTTTACAACTAGAGGAGTTGTAAAACAGCCGCAAGTTAAAAATGAAAATCTCCAAAATTCAGTGCTTTCCAGCTATTATTTATAAAATGACAGATAATTCTGAATAGCTTACTTTATTTATGATATAGAACAAATTGCTTTGAGTTATATTTTAATTTTGGTGGTAGAATGATGCCATTAAAATGTATACAGTATCAGTTTATTAAATACCATATTCACTCAAATTCTAGAAAAATACTTAAGAACTATAAAAAGCACTATCAAAGAATTCCGTCAACTGGGCGTTATGGATTCAGCAACTTCTAGCACAGAAAAATCAATACTCACATTTGCTCCGATGCCTTCCCCACCTTCAGGGACTTTAGGAAATGCATCATAGAGAGATGACACATAAGTTATTACTGATTTTTCATCAGGGGAGGAGACATCAACATCTAAAAGCAGCAACATACATTATTTCAAAATGTTGACAGATTACGCTTGATCAGACTTCCATGCAAGTTTACATCTACTCAAGACAGTAACTCACCTTCAGGGTCCAGAAGTCTTATAACACCAATTTTTTCGGCTACATAAAAAGCGTGCTCTAAATTTGCAAGGTTGCTTTGAACAGCAACAGTATTCATGTCTATCAGGTCCGGCCTAGGAAACAATTCACTGTATTAGTTATGTTTTCTCATGTGCCAGTTCAACATTAGACTCACATGTGTAGCTATGTACATAGTAACTTCTGCAAATATTAATCCTAAACTCGTGTTGAAATACAGAGATTTTCATCATTCATTTAACAGTCCTTACTCCTCTCAGAAACTTTTGTGTGACAGTGGCGAGTGCATCGATGAAAATACAAAAATTTGAACATATATAACATTCAGTAAAGTCTACAAATCCTTCATAATCTGAATCTATATGAATAACTGAATAACTGTCCCATTCAACCTGTTTAGGCTCCACTACTACTCCAGCAGGGTGTTTCCAATCCAACGAGCATCCTCTCAATGCTTTTCCCTCAGACACAAAAGATTATGCTCAGTTCAATGCCATGCTCATGGCGTCCCCCATCCAGGATGCCCTTTCGTGCCACTGGTGTTTTCTACAATCCTACTCATCTTTGAGAGCAGAGA